GGGTTTGGGGTGGGGGAGAGGGGGTTTGGGGGGAGTTAGGGTGGTTTGGGGAGAGTTTGGAGGGGGTTTGGGATGGGTTTGGGGAGGATTCAGAGAGTTTGGGGTGGCTTTTGGGGGGTTTGGGGAAGATTGGGAAGGTTTGGGGTGGGTGAGAGGGGGTTTGGGGAGGGTCTGGGGTGGTTGCAGGGTTTGGGGTGGGGGTTCAGGGGAGTTCCAGCTGCAGTAATTGCATTTGGGGGTCCAGGCTGGGGGTCCTGGGGGTGCTGCTGACCCCCCCCGTCCCCCCCAGGGCATCCCCGGCAGCCCCGAGCCCGAGCGCCCCCCGGTGCAGGAGTCCCGTCCCCCGGAGCAGCCCCCGCCCGAAGGTCGGTGGGCGTGGTGGGTGGGGGGGCCACACCCTCCGAGGCTCCGCCCCCTCATTGGGTGGAGCTGGGCACTCGTTAATTATCTCAGTAATCATTGGAGGTGTCCTCTGGGTGAACTATGCTAATTTATGGGTGTGGTCTGGGGTAAACCACACCCATTTCATGGTGCTTAAGCCACACCCATTTTTGGGTGTGGTCCAGATAAACCACATTTGTTTTTACAAGCTCTAAGCCACGTACACTTTTTGGGGTGTGGTCCAGATAAACCACACCTGTTTTTACAGTACCTACGTCACACCCATTTTTGGGTGTGGTCCAGATAAACCACATTTGTTTTTACCGTATCTAAGCCACACCCATTTTTGGGGGGTGTGGTCCAGGTAAGACACACCTGTTTTTACAGTACCTACGTCACACCCATTTTTGGGTGTGGTCCAGGTAAGCCACTCCCTTTTTTAAAGTTCTCTAAAACACACCTATTTTGGGGTGTGGTCCAGATAAGCCACACCTGTTTTTACAGTACCTATGTCACACCCATTTTTGGGTGTGGTCCAGGTGAGCCACACCCATTTAGGGGCGTGGCCTGCGATGCTGCAGGGTGTCTGCACGGCCCCGCCCCATCCAGGTGTGGTGGTGGGAGGTGAGATGGGCGTGGCCTGACCCTGCCCCGCCCCCAGGTGAGAACCCGCTGGAGTTCCTGCGGGAGCAGCCGCAGTTCCAGAACATGCGCCAGGTGATCCAGCAGAACCCGGCGCTGCTCCCGGCGCTGCTGCAGCAGCTGGGCCAGGAGAACCCCCAGCTGCTCCAGGTAACCCCCAAAAATCCCCAGAGACCCCCCGAAATCCCTCCAGAGCCCACCTGGGCTGAGCACACACCCTTTATTCCCCCAAAACCCCACCTGAGCTGAGCACACACCCTTTATTCCCCCAAAACCCCACCTGAGCTGAGCACACACCCTTTATTCCCCCAAAACCCCACCTGAGCTGAGCACACACCCTTTATTCCCCCAAAACCCCACCTGAGCTGAGCACACAGCCCTTTTTATTCCCCCAAAACCCCACCTGAGCTGAGCACACAGCCCTTTTTCCCCTCCAAAACCCCACCTGGGCTGAGCACACACCCTTTATTCCCCCAAAACCCCACCTGAGCTGAGCACACACCCTTTATTCCCCCAAAACCCCACCTGAGCTGAGCACACAGCCCTTTTTCCCCTCCAAAATCCCACGTGGGCTGAGCAGACCCCCCAAAATCCCCGCAGCAAATCAGCCAGCACCAGGAGCAGTTCATCCAGATGCTGAACGAGCCGCTGGGCGAGCTGGGCGAGCTGGAGGGGGAGGTGGGCGCCATCGGGGACGAGTCCCCCCAGATGAATTACATCCAGGTGACCCCGCAGGAGAAAGAAGCCATAGAGAGGGTGAGCGGGGAGATTTTGGGGTTTTGGGGGGAGGAACGGCAGGGCCGTGATTAGCAGTCGGTGTTAATTAACGCTGATGGGAAATGGGGTTAATGGGAAATGGGGTTGTTGGAGGCGGGGGTAGGAGGTGGCAGCAGTGGGATGAAGGAAGAGGACAGGAGATGGGATCAGTGGGATCCAAAATTAATGGGGTCAGGAGATAGGATCAATGGGATCCAGGGTTAATGGGGACAGGAGATGGGGTCAGTGGGATCCAAAATTAATTGGGTCAGGAGGTGCCACCAGTGGGATCCAGGGTTAATGGGGACAGGAGATGGGATCAGTGGGATGAAGGGTTAATGGGATCACAGGGTGCCAGCAGTGGGATCCAAGATTAACAGGATCAGAAGATGGCATCAGCAGGGCCCGGGGTTAGTGGGGTCAGGCTCAGAGTTAACGGTGTTGGGACCCGGGGTTAACGGGCTCAGAGGCCGCTCTGGGGGTCCAGGCCCCACTTTGGGGGTCCAGGCCCCACTTTGGGGGTCCAAGCCCCTCTCTGGGGGTCCGGGCTCCACTTTAGGGGTCTAGGCCCCACTTTGGGGGTCCGGGCCCCGCTGTGGGGGTCCAGGCCCCGCTGTGGGGGTGCAGGGGCTGTTGTGGGGGTCCAAGCCCCACTTTGGGGGTCCAGGCCCCGCTGTGGGGGTGCAGGGGCTGCTGTGGGGGTCCAAGCCCCACTTTGGGGGTCCAGGCCCCACTTTGGGGGTCCAAGCCCCACTTTGGGGGTCTGGGCCCCGCTCTGACCCCCGCCCCCAGCTGAAGGCGCTGGGCTTTCCCGAGAGCCTGGTGATCCAGGCCTACTTCGCCTGCGAGAAGAACGAGAACCTGGCGGCCAATTTCCTGCTCAGCCAGAACTTCGACGATGACTGAGGGACCCCCGGGCCTCCCCCCGCCCTGGGGGGCTCCTTCTGCCTCCGGGGGGTCCCCCCACGCCCGTGTGGGGATGGTGGGGGGGGGTTGGGATGGATCCAGGGCACCCCCAGCCCT